TTAAGATTTATTGCAATATTTTGCAATTTTTGCAAAATGCAAATTTTGCAAAAATGCAATAAATTGAGAACCTTAAGAACCCTTAAGAACTTTTACGGAATGTGTGGTTGTAGTGACTGCCTACCTTTGGTCAAAAATACATCTTTCCTTATCTCAGCAACTGTCTTGTCCAAGGCAGATCAAAAAAACACCTTAAAAAAACCCCATAGAACAGATCCTGCTCCTGTGTGCTCACTGAGGACTAAAAATAATCATTGAAAAGTTAATTTTATCTCTGGATGGGAGAGAAACAAGAACCATCTGTTCCAAAACACCTACTACCTACTTACCTCCATCCCCCAAAAGGTCCATCTCTGTACACAGCTTTCAGCTAATCCAGAAGACTTACATGGTCTCCTTGGGTTGGTCAGGTGGTCAGCTGGGATCAAGTCTTCTGCAGATGATAATACCTGGCAGCAGGTCAATGCCCAGAATCCCATATAGAGTCCTTATTTCAGAAACAAATTCCTTATTTCTGTTAATCTACAGATTCCTTCTTTCAGAAACCTTTTACACATAAATTAATTCTTTCCACCAGTTCCTTGGGTCACCTGTCTGGTGGTATCGTGACCAGTGAAATCTCCACTACTGAACACAGCCTGCCATGAAAAAAACAAAGCCAGTTACTCCATCTGTTTTCTTTGCTGTGTATCTTCTGGCCCATTTATTACTGAATTCATTTAAGAGAGCTTGTTTGAAAAGGCTTAGAGTTGAAAAAATTAATAGCAGAAGGTAATCTGAAAGATCCACCTGTCTTCCTAAACATCTCTCTGGTCTGTTTTCAGGCATTTCAAAGCCACTTCCAAAGTTTATCCTGCATTACAGTTTGTACACTTAAATCATCATTAAGTTTCCTGTTATCATTTCAGTTAAGATTTATTTCTCACATCACTGCAAAATAACTTTGCTCATACACACAGTTTGAATGTAGTTGGCAGACTTCTTTAATATTAGTTGGTTCAATAATTGGTCTACTGAAGTCAATTGTACATTGTTCCTCCACAGTTTCTGACTCCTCTAGTTAAAGATTCCTTTATATTTTGGAGGAGGGTGCATTTTTGCTGGCAATAACATATGCATGAACAAGCAAATGAGTTAAAAATAACTGGAATCTTTATTTTTTGTTATATTTTCACTATGTGTTTAAGACAGGCTTGGACACCGTAGACAAACAAGCAAACCTACTGTTGCTGCTACTGGTCTCTGGTTAGCCACCACCATACCAGACTTGACCAGACAGGGCAACTGTTGGTATCCGCCTCCTCATGTTCCACTTCTCCAGAAGTTAAAATTAACTTGCTAACTTCATGAACATGTCTCGGCTGGCTGCCAGCAGACACTGACAACCACCACGCATCTTGTGCTTCCGCGCCAGAGCACCAGTAGTTTGCCTGCAGGCACCAGGAGGACAGAGCGGTGGTCTCATTGCCACCGCTGGTCTCATCCAGGAGGTGACAACTAACAGTCCCTTCTAGTCTGGGGGGTCTCAGAGCATTTAAAGTGGCTAAGAGACAGTTCAGCCCAGATGTAGACATTTAAGAAGACCCATGATAGGCAAATCAGAGCACAAACCTAGGTTCAGGCTTGGACCAAACATGCAGTGCAGACACAGCCCTTACAAACTTTCTGAGGAAAAAAAAAAAAAGAGCCATTAAAAGGTTGGAAATCATTACAGAACATCTTGCTGGAAGGGTTAGAAATCTGTGGCTTTGAAATGCCTGCATCTCACAAAAAATTCAATTTACAGACATTAAAATAATCCTTTGGATTTGGTATCTTCCATTTAATGTAAGAAGATTTAGTTGCCATTTTATTGTCTTGTTTTATTTGTCATTTAAATACCTATCAAAGTCAATTTACACAAGGCGATGAAGTGGAAGATTCTTCCTAGCCCAGGGATGGACATGTCTAGAAGTTTCTCCTTTATGGTCTTATGTATCCCAGACAAATACTTCATGTTATTATTGCTGTGGTTTTGTATCTGAAAATATATTTGTCTTGTCTTGTGGCTGTTGGTTTTTTATTTAAAACAAAACTGTATTGTGTCTAAAAGCAATAACTACACGAGTGACCTTTTTCTTTTTTACTGAGTATCAAATGCTTTTTATTTTGTTTTTGCATTTGTTTAAGTTCTCTTCATTGGGGTTCACCTCTAAGTTGTAACTTTTTTCCAGCTGAGCCCCTCTAAGGTGAAGAATATGAAAACAAAACTTCTGATTAAATACCTTTGAGGGCATTTAGAATATCAATCAGATTTTTTTCTACTCTGTGTTGAGTCTGATTGTAATCAGAAGATATAAATGTAAACTAAGCCCATATCCTACAGGAGGATCAGAGCTTTGATTACTGCAAAGAGAAAAAAAGATTTCTTTTTCCTGTTCTTTGTAGTTCTAAATATTTGTTTCTTGAATCAGGTTTTTTGCAGATTATGAAATACCTAATCTCCAGAAAGACAAAATCTCACAAATTGTCATCTGGGTTGTGGATGATATTGAACGACCAGATATGTAAGTTATATCTTCCCAAAAAAATTCATTTCTTCCTTTTGAACCTGTCTTTAAAATTTCACCTTAGTTTTCTATTTGGTTATATTTGTATAGCAATTAAACTAAAAATATTTTATATGCTTTCACTAACACATAAGGCACACTCTGCCATTCCCAAAGAGTATATAAATACCAGAACTAGACAAAATAGAAATAAATTTTAATATTAGGTCTGGAGTCCACTCATTAGTTTAGAGATATGCGTGTGTGGACCTCAGACCTTGAGTGAACAGTTTTACTAAGAAAAGAGTCAATCTCAATTTCAGATTAAATGGTCACATAAAATATTTCTTTCGCTTTGCCAAATGCATCCTTTTCACTTTCAGCTATCTTAACTGTTTGGAAAGTAGTAGGAGGGACATACCACCAGGGAGCTTGTCTTCTCGCAGTACTTAAAATCAATCCAACAACAAAAAGTAGGCTTTAACAGGTCTAATTCTGCTGTTAATTACATTTAAACCAAACAAAAAACAGATCAGTCCAAACAGAATAGCCTGGTGGTAAATAGTCAAAGACCAAGACAAGATTTTCAACAGAAACACAGTGGAAAATGGACTTTGAAGTTAACAAAATAAAATAATTAGGCCTGGTTTGGGACTGATTAAAGGAAGAATTAATTCATTATAGCTTTTGTGGAGGCCCCTACAAATGTGCATAGATGAATCGAGGAGCAGAGGAAGTCAGTTTTACCCCAACCATCTGCAGGGTCCCTGCAATTTAGTATAACATATGGTGGCACTTCAGTGGTCTTAAAACTGCCCTGGCTGAAGAAGGCCAGAGAAGCAGACTCAGATGTTACCATATCCAGCACTGGTGGCTGAATCCCTGGTGTCATGTGCGGTCTGAGGAATGTGAGGCTTCTGTTCTTGCTACTCAACCCTTTTTAGTTATATCCATTCATTTTGTGTAATTTCTCTTTCACGTCCCATCTCTTCTCTTTCCTATCTCCTTCTGCTTCTCTTTCATCAAATTTTGGCATGGCCAACCCAGACCACATATTTTACCATAGTGCTGTGGAGTCTATGGCAAGAGAAGCATGGTTCAGATTAGCATTTCTCAGCTTTTCTGTTTAAATCAAAGAATCATACCCTTCTGGAAAAAAATATATAGCTCACCTTTGCAGAAGTTGCCCTTATTGCAAAGAAAAATTAAGACAAGCACTGAATGTTAGCTTATCTTTCAGTTTGTGCTTGTCTGGATGCATGGGAATAATCGTGTATTTTTATTAATTGCTTTTTACAATTATTTTGTTCATCCCCATATGGTTTCTTTAGAGTCATGAGTATTTACTGACCAGTGGGTAAGTAACACTGACCTTAATACCTGACATTGGTGCAAGTTTTAGAGGTCTCAGTAGGTTCTGTAGTATGTCAAGCTTTCTTTTGCTAATTGCACCACAAAATAAAAATCAGTGCTAGACACAGAAGCTGCATTTAGGATTGTTTCTGGGTTTTTTCGTTCTCCCTGTGTTTTTCTATTGCTCTGTGTTCAAGACAGAGGACAAGCTTCCAACAAGAATAATAATTCTAATTTATTATAACCAACTTAATTCTGTGAAGACAGCTATCATCAACTTTAGCACCATCTAAATAGCTGCCAAAGAATATTACAAATTAAACTCTTATTTATTATTTTACAAAATTATTTAGCTCTTTTCCTCTTTGTCTAGTGAAATATTAAACGTGGGAATATTTGTTAATAGAATCTGCAAATCCTACACAGGCTGAAGCCAATCTTCCAGTCTCTGCAAACTGAGTATAAAATGTTAAATGACTGTAAGCAAACAAAGTATTATAAATAGCAATGTACACCAGTTTTCTGGTGTTAAGGAATATGGAAGAGGCAAAGGAATGGGGATTTACTTTGCAAATTCCATCAAGTTCAGTGAAAGGAAATTAGATAATAAAAGACTTGTAATAATATTAAAATCCTTTCTCACAGAGATTCCTGTGGAACTCATACAGTAAAGATACTAGAAAACAGGCTGAAAACCCTTGGTTATGATGTCACCTGCACTGACAATTACAAGTAAGTGAAAATCCTTCATAAATACAGTGTATTTGCAGAAGCACCTCATCTATTTTAAATGTCACATTTTTCAGACTTAGCGTTTTTCAGCTGTGCTTTGAGCAAAACACACCTCATTGTATAATTGTATAATTAAGTGGAACATTGTATTTACCCAAAGACAGGCACAGAAGATGGCCTCATGTATTCCACTTCACTGTAAAATCTTTATTTGGATTGAAAATCTAAACAACAGTTAAAACCATTGTTGAATGTCTGCAGAATTACTAGTTATTCACAGTAGTATCCACAGCTCTGGTTTTTCACAGTAGATTCTAAGATAACTATCATTGAAGGCAAGCTTTAAACATGACACTACTGTTGAGTTTGTTTCATTTCTTCGTTTGTTTTCCTCAGTTTTCTGCCTGAAAGATGCTAAATACAATTATATCTTCACAGGCCTGTAATGTTCTTACTCTGCCTGGATTATCCTGATGATTCTAAGTGTACCCTTTCATCGTAAGTAAAAGAAGTTCAATCCATCCTCAGTGTCATTACAAGCAAATAAATAATGCAGAGGTCAACAGTTCAACAGATTCCACCTCTGTCATCTGTTATATATCACCCATACGCAACACACAGTATTCTTGAATTTATTACTTATTGTGTATTGAGTAAGCAGTTTCTACCTACAAATTGTGCACAATTGTCTGTGAGCACCTGGTATTCAAAATTGGGTGGTAATCAGTTCTCATTGATCACACAGTCACACTGTATATCACTGATGGTATGAATGAAGTTTGTAAATATCAGTGTTCTGATGCAAAATCTATTACAAATTTGAAATTGTTTTCATTAATATTCTTCCTTCAGTAATGAAATTGTAGGTCAAACGACAACAGATCTAAAGAACATCTCTCCAGCTTTCAGTTCCAAATTTTGAGGAAGTTTTTTCTTAATCTTCCATTTTGTGTGCAAACACAATTTCTGTATTTTAATGTATTTACCTTGGGCCAGTAGGTTATCTGCAGAGAATGCAGATTACATCCAAGATACAACTTTCTTAATTAGCAAGCATCACTCCCAAACTGGGTTTTAATAGTTTCCCCTCCTATCCATATTTTTCTGTACTGTATAAAGAGGATTAAATGAATTTATGATGTATTTCAGTAAATTTAGAGTAAAGATGACTTTTGTGTTTAAGTTTCTTAATCTATATGCTGTTGCATGTATAGGTACACATCAGATACTTGAGCATCTGAATATGAAAACTTCCTCGCAGTTTGGAAAGTTGCAGGATACATAGACGCATAAAAGTTGTTCTCTAGTTATATCCATACATTTGGCCACATCCTATCTCCTGCTGTCCTTTCTGCCTTAATTCAAGCACCTGCAAATCTTTGGCATGTTAATACCCATGTCATACTGCAATGATAACTTCAGCTGTGAAAAACCTGATTTGCTGTCCCTGGTTATGGCAGCAGAGAGGTGCGACTCCTGCTTGCCTGCCGCTGCTTGTGCAGCAGTAGCGCTTCATGCAGTACAGAGAGGGAGGTGTATATCACTTTCTGTAGCGTATGTTCAGTTTTTAATACACCCTTACAGAGTGAGGTGTGAGGTGTGTGTTGTGAGGTGAATACACTCACACAAAGTGAGTATTCTCTGTTCCTGCTGGTCACTGAAAGCTAAAAATGAGTAAACTCATTTTGTCATGTGACAACATTTATTCTTACATCCAGATTCTATCCCAGCACCAACCTATAAATGTGTGATGAAAACAGTGGCATTTTAGATATCACTGATAGCTCCAGACTCCGTCTAGGTAGTAGAACACAGAACAGGCTTCCAGGCCTGTTAAGGCATTTGTTTGTTACTAGATACCACTTGGCACGGTGGATTAAAATAGGGTTTCCTTGTTCTACCAGTGAATGGTAAGGCTTTTGTTCATGTGTCAAAGGAAAATACAGTTGTCCCATGTGAAATCACAGCTGTGAACATGGTGACAATATTAACAAACTGGAGGAAGAAGCTACAGGACTTTAAAAAATATAATATTATGAACTCCTAACTGAAGATTTTTCTCTTCTCCCAGGTTTTAAACCATTTCCCTCAAAGTTTTGTGATGCAGGTACATTCCTCAGCTGAGGAAATCTGGATGAAAAGGCTTTTGGAAACCATTAATGTATTTTTCTTTCACCTAAGGGATGAGCATACCAGTTCTCCCGTACTACCACACAGCGCTTGCAGTATGTAAGCAGGGGAACAGCCACCCCTTCCTTTCCATCCATGTCAGTACTTAAACTAAAATAATCACTAGCGTATTCTAAGCACCAGTCTCATACTCTCCTGGGGTAACTACTAAGCAACTCAGCTGTTATCATCCTCCTTAGAAAAGTTTCCTTGCTTCTTTCCTTCCTGAGCCTTCTATTCCCTCCTGTATGCATGGCAGTGTAATAGCCTTGATTCACTTCATATCCATGCTATCCCTAATCAAGACAGAGCTTCCCAGTCTGAATGCTATCATTGCCTCTCCCTGAAATGTAAGTACCTAAAATACTTCAAGCCAATGAATGCTTACACTTTTCTCCAAATCACTTACTTCTCTGCAATAAATAATGTCTCCATTGAAATTAGCTGCCCTTTCAGAAAGAGCCTTAAGCAGATATATATAAATTATTTGATGATTATCTTCTAGATCTGTTTTCTCTGGGGATGGATCCCTGCTCTCTGATGGTCCATTAACTGACATGGGAACAGTTTGGTCAGTAGTGGTATTGCTATTAAGAGCACGTATCTGCTACAAAAAGGCTTCCTTTGCATAGCGTGTGCTCAGTGTACACATGTTGCATTTTCATACTTCCATAATAAGTAGTGAGACTAGGCATGCAGGCTCTGTTGCATCCCCTTTCACAGTGGCTATTTGCTGTTATAAGACTGATAGCTGCCATCTCAGCCTCCGAGAATAATGTCCCAAGCCCAAAAATACCAAAGTTGTGCAAGTGACTTTTTTGTTACAACTCATATCAGAGGGCTGAGTAGGGCTGTGTCAGGATAGCAGAGGGATGACCTAGAAGGTGCTGTAATTTAGTTGGGCTACTTGGGTAGTGGTAGTACCCCTAAACTCCTCTCCAGGCTTGTTCTGCTGAGTCAAAATTTAGACTTTGGCTTGTTAAAGCAAATTTGAAGAAAACTTGTAAGTAAAAAAATACCCACTAGATGGCATAGATGGCTTACAAACATAAGCAGAAAGGAAGCCAGATGCAACCTATTAGTAGTGGTATTTATTACTTGCATTATTGCAATGTCAGGGAGACAGAAATGGATCTGGATGCTGTTGTATCAAATGCTGTAAAAATACAGACCTCTAGGACCAGTGCTGTCTAGAAGAGCTCTATACAATCTCAAACATAAAGCCAAAGACAGTAAATGGATGTGGAGAGACAAGGAGGCTCAGGTATGAAGGTAGAAAGGAGCATTCCCAGGGTTTTGCTCAGAGATACCCTGTTTATAAAATCATGACAGCCAAAGAGAATCTGGTGGCGAGCTCTTATAAAGAAACTTCTAGCTTAGCACTTGGACTGCAAACTTCATCCTTGGCAACAAACCTCTGATATTTAAAAGAATCCTAACTCAGCTCTGTGCTGTGAACATCCTGTTTGTTTTCTTTTCTTTAGATCTGCACCAGCAGCACAAAGAGGACCTGTATCTTCAGGCAGAGGAGGCAGCTGGAACAAGCTCATGTTTGTTTCTTTTGTAGGCTTTTTGTTCAGATTTGCTTTAGTGTACTAAGTTAATCATCAACTGAATCCATATCCTCTGCCTTAGCTGGCTATAAATTTGGCTTTAACTAATTTCTAACTGCAATTTCACCCTAGTTCTGGGACTGGCAAACCTGCATATTAAAACCCTGCATACTTCTATTTAGACACCAACTACTTCTAGTATAAAAAATTATTCTAGTGCTGCTAGAAAGTCTCACCCTTCATTTCCTTTTCTTGAATGGAATCCATTTTCTTGAAGAAATCCATTGCTATTTCCTCTTATCCTTATTCTCCAGAATTAAACTGAGTATAATACTTCTGATCACATATTTCAGAAAGAAAAATGAAACTATGCCTGTCATACATCTCTCACACAGCTTACTTGTTCATAAAAACAATCCTAGCATTTGGCCTTGGAAACTGTCTGATTATCGTGTTTTAGGAAGGGGATATATGAATTCAGATGGGACAGAGCTTAGATTGCTCACTTGGTACAAGATATAATAGGTGAGACAGTGGAAAAATTAAACTAATTTTCATAAGTACTCCAGTACTTGGGCCAAACTTACCTGCAACTATCATACAGTGAGATTCTGGCTTGCATACTTGCATATAGTATTTTACCACATTCTATTGATTGCTTTGACATCTGCACAGCTGTTCCTCAGCTGGCTATTTCCTGGCCACTGGATAGCTAATAGTCAGGAATACCAGGTCTAGAAAGCTCCACGGGTTTTCCACCATGATGTGATAAGTAGATTTATGGCATATCAAATTCAGATGAGAACCTGCCAAGTCAGACATCTGCCTTCTTGCAGTGAACTCAGTTAGCATGTTTCAGAATATATTGAGGAGAGAGCAGATGCCATCTTGAAGGTCTCTTATGAATTATCTAAAAGTCCCAGATAGATGTTCCTCTAAACCACCAAGACACGCAGCTACCAAGATGACTCATAAATCTTTGGAAAAAAATAGTTGTTCTTCTAGAAAATAACTTTAATTACAATTTTGTTGCACATTCTCTGTTAGCTTCTGTATTACTTATTTGTGTTTGTATTGGCTGATTGTCAGGAAACTGGAATGGGATGTTCCATTAGTGCATCTGATTTAGGACTTCGTAGTAGATTTACATCCTTTCAGTCCCTGGTACAGGGGCAGAAGAAGTGTCAGCAAAGCAAGAAACAATAAGGTCATTTGTTACTCCCGGAGGGAGGGAGGGACATGAACAAAAAGTTGTGAGCAAGAGAATCCCTTATATCTCTCTCTTAATTTTATTTCTACATCTACAAAGTGTGTGAATAGTGCTATTTACACATAGATTTTACACTTATGTGGTGAGAATCAGCTAGGTATGCCTGTGCTCTGTCTTGAACACTCGGTAGGTGCTCTGATTAGCAATGTCTTATGTAACAGTGTGCCAAATTTGGAGAAATCATAATGTCTAAAAGGCATCTGCCCTTCTCCATAAACTCATGCAAGCTTTTTTTTCAGCAGGGTGCTTCAAATACAGATTCAAAATGTTTCAATCATTCATACTTGTACAAGCAGTACTGCAAAAACAGCTGTCTCCGGACCTGAATTCAAGGGGGAAAATGTTTCATATGAAAACATTATGTGTATCACTTCATTTTGAATCCAGTTGGATGCCACAATCCTGCGTAGATCTGTTAATGTCCAACAACTCATGGCAAATGGAAGCATCGTGTACAGGAGCATTACAAGGTGCTCTGCATTTCTGCAGGCAGACCTGTGGAAGCTATTGATACTAAGATAGTATTGCCTGTCTTTGCCCATTTTGTGGACCACTTAAGAACTCAGTTATGTCACACTCTTCATTCCTATATAGAAACCTACTTTTTTTTTTTCTGCTGCATGTGTTCCAGTCATTGTATCTGACAAAAGCTGAACTCTAATTCGGAATAATTCCTTTTTTCAGCATGTATGTGCATGCACACATATACATCTGCTCATACCTGCTCTGTCTGCTTTTAAATGCAAACTCTTGAGTGCTCTGGCGTAAGAAGTTATGAGAATAAAGCAAGGACAACTTGTTCACCTCTCTGCCCTTTTTATACTGCTGGTGTTTATTTTTGTCATATTGGCCTTGATGTGATACTCAGCTGACATGACTGTGTTTCCAATCAGCAATCTCAAATGTAGTGAAACTTGAACTGAAACCTCAAGAAGTTTTATAATACTTATTGTTCAAAGAAAGCTAACTTTTTCGATAGTTTTCTTTTCAGTTGGATTAGCTAGAAATAATTCTGAGGCATTCTGCTTCAACAATAGAGAGCGTAAAGTGCTTTTAGCAGAGCCAAGAAGTTTAGCAGAGCCTCAGTATGGGGAGGTACAGCATCTTAATTTAGGCAAATGTTAGGGTGGCTCAAGCACTTTACAAGTGTTTTTCTGATTTTCAGGTTTTTCCTAATTCCAGCTTCTGCCCAGTCTAAATTTACTTGCCGTTTTATTTAAGAGGTGAAGAATATAATCTGCCAGATTTTATTTATAATCTGCAGGCATTTGATGCCTACAGTTCCCTGTGAATTACAAAGGCAAGCTCAGAGGAGACTCCCATTCCCTTACTGCAACAGCACAGTTCATACAGGCTGGCAGGGAGGGGGGTGCAGGAAACCGGAGCCTGGGAGCATGGTGCATACCTACCCTCACACCGTGCCAGAGTATTCACCCTGCCTGGGCAGCCCCTCTTCGCCTACCTTCTCCTCTCTTTCCTGCCACCCGCAGCAAAGGTGAACCTGATCTCAGTTCAGATGAGTTACTTCGTATTTTTAGCAGAGTGTGTGAGTGGAAAATTATGATGTTGGCAGTTTTATAGAAGGAAAATGAAGGAGGAAATTATGCTTAATAATACACATTGCCTTGAAGTAATAGGCACTGAAGTAAAGTAAGTAGTCCTTGACTTGTGACCATTTGGCTAGGAATACCTCTGCGCTATGTAAGCAGTTAAGTGTGGTAAGTTCCCAAAGTGCAGGCAGAGGGGATGCTCCAGAACTGTCTACCTGGAGTAACTCGAGTTATACCATTAGTTACAATAATTAAGAAAGAAATAGTATTTTTTAATCCAGTAACTGTGTTTGCCTGGGCATCTCTTAGTGATTACACTTGATACAGTCTGATATCAGTGCTTGGATAAATAATTAACAAGGAATGTCAGGTATTGCAGGCATAAACTAGGATGATATGTCAAGAATTTGGCAAACACTGGATCACCAAACTGCAGGAGGATTCTTTTTTTTCCTGTTTGCAACAGGTAAAGCCAAGAGAGCAAGCAGTGCTAAGGAAATGACAGGTATTCTGTATGATATGCTAAGTCAGGGTACAGGTGTGGAAAAGCTCCTAGGTCACACTATACCATTTTGAAGAGCAGCAAGCGAAGAAGCAAATGAGCGGAAATAAGTATTCAGTCAAAATCTTGCAATCTCAAATCCCAACTGTAGGACATGCTGGCCTGTGTTGTGCTTCATTCTTACTTTTCCTTTTGTTTTAATGAAAGATGCCAGAAAATCCAGTGTTGGTATTTCCACAAGGCAGAATGAATGCTCAGGGCTTTCACCCTGAATTTTCTGTCACCACTGCCCATTAGCATGGGGTTAAATAAAAAAAGAGCTGCTGGAATATTATGAAAAAGGAGTGATGACAGCGAAGTATATGTCATATATCATGCAAAAAGAAGTTAAGGACAGTAAGAATAACCAATAAACTTGGAAGCCACAGCATCAAATCCTTGACAATATTTATATGCGGTGTATACAAAAGCATATTTTACATAGCTGGCAAGCAGAAAAGATCTTGTTTTTCAAGTTTCTTGTTTTTTGACCTTTGAATCATCACATGGATCCTTTCCAAGTGGCAGATCTACCCCCTATAGTTCTTTTACGAGAATTTTTGCAATTTACACACTTCTGTGCTTGCAGAGCATACTTCTATATCAACTTTGTTTCCTTGGCCGCCTCAGTGGGATGGGAGCCTGCTCGGTATTTCCCTTCAGAATGTGTGAGCAGCATAATAATTGGTACTGGCCAGAAAACAACACTCAATTTCATGCAAGTCGGTGAGGTTGCTGCATTTGCTTTTCCTCTGCAATAAAACTAAACCTTGAAAAATGTTTTGCACAAAAAAAGTACAGCAACCTCATCAGAAATCACAGTAAGATCCCTCACTGCTAGGTTATAGCTTTGGTATAGCTTTCACTTTCTTGCAAACTCTTCTATTGCAGCTGTTCTATTTTGTACAAATAAACATGTCTTGAGTAAAAAAATATTTTCTTCATAGCCTGATTCATGTTGAATTAAATTCATTAAATGTGGGTCCCCCACTCTGCAGATCAGTGCTTCAAACACTATACCCTTGAGTGTGGGGGTTTTTTTAAATTTGTGTAGGACATGATTTTCTGACATGTCAGAATGTCAAATAGAAAGGCATATCAAAAAAAAAGGTGAACGTGATATAGAAGAATGAAGCAACGTGTTTCCTCAAATAGAAAGGCATATCAAAAAAAAAGGTGAAGGTGATATAGAAGAATGAAGCAACGTGTTTTCTCACACTGTTCTGGAGCTACTGCACCGCTTGTGTCCCCACTCCACCTCCTTCCACACCAGTAGTGTGTTTGTATGTAGGGGATCTCTTGGCACGTTGCCTTGCTCCATGAGAAAATCAATGCACAAATCTCAGCTATGACTTTGTTTTGTTACAAACCTGCCACTTCGGCTGAGAAAGAAATTGGGAACTGCAAAATGCAAAAAGCATCACTGGTGACAGCAGGAAATTCTTCAGGCAGCCGCAAAGCTTCGGAAGCACCTGTACAAGCGCCAGGCTCTCCGAGCGAAGGGGAAGGAGCAGATGCCTGACACTCAGGAGAGCCAGCAAGGGAAACAAGCACAGAAATGGGAGGCAGAAACTTGGTCCAAAGAGGGAGAACGTTTTGGACCCTTTGGGATCTTTTTTGCAATAAACAAAGAAAAAAACAGTCATTAGCATCTGTTACCCTGTCTCACCCGGAACAGCACAGTCGGTGCGGTCATGGCTCCAACTGGCCACAAGCGAGCTTGCACAGCAACAAGCAGAGAAGCAAGTGCTAATCAGACAGACAAGGGGAAAGGAACTAGACTCTGCA